GTCCCAGCTACTTGGGAGTTTGAGGCAAGATAATCACTTAAGCCCAAGAGTTTGAGGTTGCTGTGAGCTATGATGCTACAGCACTCTACTGAGGGTGACATGGTGAGACTCTGTCTCAAAAAGAAAAAAAAGAAAGAAAGAGCTCAGTGAGCCTGTTCCACTGTTTTCATCAGTGCCCTCCTGTCCCTGAGATGCTGCTGTGCCCTCACCTGGGCCTGGATCCTGCCCTCTCCCCTTTCCATCTGCTCTGAGGTCATTTTGGTTCAGCAAGCTGGAGTTCACACCAGTGACCATCCAGATATATGCCTGCTAGGTTGCTACTTCTTGTGACTGTGATCACAGTGATGAGAACCCCTTAATCTCTTGGATGGTCGTGGATCATGTGATTAGGTCTATGGGCTTGGAATGCCTCAGACTTCTTTCTGACTCAGAGAAGGGGGTCCTATAGGCCATGGGTGTCTCAGGCTGCCCTTTTGCTGATCCAGCTCATACCCAAGACCCACCAGAGTTCAGTCCTGTTTTGTAAACTGAACCCAGAAGTCAGGCTTATTAAGCCCAGGGCTCTGCCATGTAGGCCAGAGAGATGGCCTGTGGAATGACCCCTGAGGGATGGAGGGAAGAAGTCATTAAATCACTTGACAAGTAAACAGTATGGAGAATTTCCAGACAGAGAGTCCAGGTTGTTTAAGGTACAGAATTACCAAAGTGTTGACATTTTGTTGCCTTCAAGGTGGAGGAGGTTGGCTTCTATTTCATGTCTAAGCCAAAAAGCAGCCTGGTTAATAAATAGAAGAGAAGTGATGTTGACACATGTATAAGGAAATTAGATGTCATGAAAAAAGTGTCACTGACCTTCAGAATCCCTGAAGGAGCAAAGAAACCCCCTCTTGAGTCGTCATAGAACCTACTCCCTACCTCTTGTCATTGACTTTGCTGGTTTTTCCCCTAAGTGCAAGTTTTCAAGATGAATGAAAGTTAATTTTTCATTCAACTTTATTCCCTTTCAGTTGTATCATTGCTGTGGCAACACATTGGGAAATTAATTTTTAGCAATCTAATCCATACTAATTGAAGTTGTTAGTATGGTTTTTTTTTTTTTTTTTTTTTT